AAAAAAAAAAAAAAAAACTAAGAAGTTAAGCAAGAGTACATATTCACATAGAAGTAAAAGATAAATAATCGATAATTAATTGGATTAAGTGTTTTTAGTCGATGAAAGATTATTAACATATAATCGTTCATTTTAAATATATGTTGTTTTGTTTTTTTGAAGAAAAGAAAAGAAATAAATATATTTATATCGTTAATATTTTTTTTTTGTATAAATAGATAATTATTATTTTGAGAATAACAAACATATTCATAAATAAATTGTTTATCTTCTTAGAACTATATTGTTAGTGTTTGTTATCTCATCGTTTATTTATGAAGAGCACATGAATACAGAAAAAAAAACAAGCAGTAAAAACGAATGAAGACATATATGAATAAAGAACTCAAAAAAAAAAAGAATTTAGTCAATAAATGATTTTGATGTAAAAGGTTTATTTAAACGATGTTCATGACGTCGTAATAGATCATAATTTGGATATGGAGTATGTGTTGGTGAAATAGATGATCCATGTCTAGTAATAGTAGTTTGTTTAATATAGTCATTTGCTTTATCATCATCACCTTCTCGTTCATCAATGACTATATTAGGAAAATAATCATAACTACCTGGAAGACGACGATATTTTGAAGTAATGTTTTGTTGCATAGTTTCTTCATCATATTTATCCATGTCGATATGTTTTTTAGTTGTTGGAGGAGCTTCCATAATCCATGGTGGTTGTGGAGTTTCAAGTTTCTTACTAGTAGTAGTCGGCATTGATTGGTGACAATTAGGACAAAAGTAAGGCTGAATTGGTGTTGTGGGAGTTTTTCTGTTTGTATCTATATCACTGCGTCTTGATAGAGTTGAAGATTTTCGCGGATTTGCCGATGATCTATGAAATTTTCCAGTCGTAGTGGGATTTTCACCGACTCCATTATGATCACCTTTTGATTTATAATCATTGTCATCACTATCACTATTATTTGGGTTAACTAACAAACATATATCCAGAAATTAATTTTTAATATATCAAGTAGATATACATACGAGAACCTTGATATTTCGGGCTGTGGAGCGAAGCATTCCTTTGTCCTGTACCTACTGTTGTATCAGGTATTAATGGTGTTTGATTTTGAAGTGGCAATGATGTATGAGGAGTCAATGTTGATTCTCGATTAGCAGCCGATGTTTTTTTGCGACTATCAATTAATATTCCTGAAGAATGACGTGTTGGTGGTTGATTTTTATTTGAATATACTTCATTCATTTTAGGTCGTTCTTCTTGTGAATCTTCGAATGCATCTGCAGGTTCTGGATCATATTTATTTTCATCATTTCTATTTGATGGAGTTGGTGATGGAGTTGGTGATGGAGTTGGTGATGGAGTTGGCGATGGAGTTGGTGATGGAGTTTTACGTTTAGGTGATTTTGGTTTGTTCTTACTTTTATTACCCCCCATACCAGTGTTCTTTCAAATTTAATGCACAAGTAAGCTTATAGAAATTCTAAAAAATAGGAATATTATGAATAAGTTGATGTTTTATCAATGTTTAGTAAAAAAAGATAAGAGTAAAGACAAATAAATGTTAAAGACACAGTTGTCCTAGACAACAAGAAAGATAACACAATAATGAATAATAGTGTATCGTTGTATTTATACAACAATCTTTTCTTTTTTTATGAAGAGAAAAATATATCATATTGATATCTTACTCTATGTATGCTTCTTATAGCAAATCTTTTTAATCAATACACATTTTTATAATAAAAATATTATTACAATAAACGAATAATCCATATTGCTTTAATCTTTTCAAAGGAAAACCTTGAAAAACTTATACAGAATCTAAAGTTTTGAGTCTTTCGAAAGAGAATAGGATTTATTTTTCAATAATACACAGTCAATTGTGTCTGATTTCTTGTTTTTTTTTGTTCGCAAAAAGAAAAACAATGTCAATAATAGGGATCGATTGATCATTCACTCTCGTTTATGACGGCAGAACGTGTGAGACACCATATTGTATCTATTTAGCTTTTATGAAACTTTCAGATGGTATTAATATCAGTCGTAGTAACGATCATCATTACATATAATCAAGTGCATTTCCATCATAATAATCTTCCTTGTTGGTATGAAAATATTTTATTTGGAAACTTTTTAACTTTTTTAGTTTTTCCAATCATATCGGTTTTGTAACTCATCCTTTTTCAGAGATGAAGCATTCCGAGAAATTGATAGTTTATGGAGTTCACTACAAAACACTTTCTCAAAGCCTTTCCATTCCATGTTTGATTTCTTTTTTCAAATCATTCTACATATGGTCATTCAAGTACTCAAGACGGTTGTAAAAGATTAAAGTGACAGACAATGTCTAATGTATACTGTTTGATAACACATATTTTTTAAACTCTGATTAAATTGGTATTCTTTTGGTAGAATTAATTCGAATGCTTATATAATAGATTTCGATTCAGAGAACTAACGTTTTCAATTATATAGAACTGTTACATTTCAGAGATTTCAATATTTGAAATAAAAGAAGTTTAAAGTCTATTTTATGTGAGTTCTTTATTACTCTCACGAGGGAAAACTCATAATTGTCTAAGCGCCTTTTTTTCATCAAATTTAGCGAGTTATAGATAATCGACTATGCTAATTCCGAATATCAATACAAGACTGGTAGCTATAATTTCAGAGATCTATTTTCAAGAAAACCAGTTATTTCTAGCGAAAAAATTTTTTTCGATCTGTTCGGATTGACTGTAAAGCACTATTTTTTCCGCTTGAGAACCATTACTGAGGTCACTAGAAACATAATGCTTTCTTTTCTCTTCTGATTTATATAGAAAAAAAAAACGTCCTTCTTTATTTCTTTCCTTTTCGGAGAAATGTGTTTGAAAGATAAGTCTCACCGTCACTTAAAGTGTGTAGACACAGATGTACATGACAAGATGAGGCACGTACACCTACACCCAACATACTAGATTTGGCGAAAAAAAAAATTATGAGTGTGAATAAAGAGAGCATCCAAATTCTAATGCTCACTTTTAATTTAAGCTACATAGACTGATCCACTTACTATATCTATTTTTGTATGTTTTCCATATGCAGTCATTTTTGTCTCTCTACACAGATTCTACCTTACGAATATTTTTTTTCTTCCAATCGAAGGATGATATCCGCAATCAAGACACAAAATTCCATTGACTCATTCGTCAACTAACTTAATTTTTATTATTACAAGAAACACCAAGCAACCAAACATTTCATTTCATCCAGTTTATATTCTCTTTACTCTAATTATAATCATCCTTTGTGTTTGTCTATATATAAAAAATTCAGATAAATATCCTATATAATAAAAAATTAAATTTCTGTCCAATAATATATATATATATATCTTTCATCAACTTCATATTAAATTAAAAGTCAAGAATCAATATAAATTTCAAGTAATATATTTAACAAAACGAAAAAGTACAACAACAATAGTAATAAAACGAGAACAGCAGTCAAATCACTGTTATAAAACGAAATAAAGCATAACAATAACATTTATGTTCGTCTCATATATAATGCACCAAATGTGAGCATACCTAAAATATATAAATGAATATATATGTCATGCTGAGCATATTTAATTAGTTTTGGATAAAGTACTGACAATTTCTAAACACATTATGTTTGTTATCACGTTATCTCAGTAGGGGTGGAGGAATCATAATTCATGCATCCTGATTGTTCATAACAGTACGTTCTCAGAGTAAAAAAACAAAAAAGTCATTCTCTTAAAGCACTGAAATATACTTGCCTATAGTTCCAAGAATACTTGCATAACGACTAAGAGAATTTCGTCGTTGTGAAGTTTTATCATAAATCTTCAAACATCCAGCCTTTAAAAAGAAAATACAATTTTTTTATTATTATTATAATTAAAATAAGCTTACCCAATAATTTTGACTTTCAAGCCATGTATGAAGATTTATATCAATAAAATTGGTTGTCCAATCAATAATAGATGACATAATGAAATCTATATTTTGTTGTTGTTGTATAAGGTATTCAGCTAGTATAGCTGAAAATGAGATAAATGTTATAATACGATTCCATGTTATTGTTCCATCATTAAATAATTCATTAGCTATTTCATAATGAATATTTTGAAGATTAATTATTGATGATGAAAAATGAAAATTAAATATTGTTTGTTGAGAATAATAAAGTGTTTCACAATCATAAGCAATTTTACGTATAATTATATATAAACGATTATTTGTTAGTGTTTTATTTTTTAAACGCCAATTGAAATAATCAGTTACAATTGATCGAGTTGTTAGATTATCATTAGAATGCATATTGTTGCTTTTTAAATTAAATGAAAATGAATTGAATGTATGACTTTATAAAGACTTATTGTTTATCGCCGTCAACGCGGTCAATGAAGAAAAAAAACACTGGTTCATATAAAAAACAACGAAAGAAAGAGAGCAAGAACAATCTCTTACTCTCTTCTACTTTTTTTTTCTTCGAACGTCCGCTGTGTGTGTTGAATCGTAAGGCAATCATGTTCATGTTTATATGAATGTTCGACCGCTAACAAATGTTCAGCTGCTTCCAATGGCGATTATATCGTATAATTTTCCAAATTACAGATACTTGAAGAAGAACAAGAGTGCAATAAATGCCAATTAAAAATAAATCAAAAAGAACATTATGCCGCTAGCAAATATCTGTGATAATTTTTTATGTAGAGAATGTGAAAAATGATGAATTTTATTTCAGTTGATTGATAATAAAAATTGTAGGTGTTCTATGATTTCATCATCAACAGCCAAGAATACAGCAATTGATTCGAAAATTTTTTTGTTTTTATCTTATTTTTTAATCAATATTGATACAGAGTAGTTTAAGAATATTCCACTCTTTTCGGCCAGTTCTGGATCTTCGCGAAGATACAATCGATCTGAATTAAATTTTTATCACAGTTAAATTATTGAAAATAATAGAATAAAGATGTTTGAAGAAAAAATTTCTAAAACCATCACAACTACTTTCGATATCATGATATTCGTTAAACAGCTATTCCATCTGATGAGAATGTTATTATCAAGTGAGAGTGTAGAGTCTATTTAAAAGAAATCTAAAACACTAGATATATACAAATAATATTATATTGAGGAACTAGTAACTTATCATTTTCCCTAATTCTTTTACTTTAAACTAGCACTATTATTGTTTTCATTTTTCATTGTCTTAACTTTGGCTACAAAGAAAAAACCAAGGGCCAAATAAAATCTATTGTAGGATGAATTAAATAGAGAGTCACTCTTTGTAATGAGAGATAAAAAGAACATATTAACAGTCCTCAATGATAAGTATTCTTAACCAGCTGTTGCAATTCAAAACTAATAATTTAATATTTTGGTAAACTATATATTTTGTCGAAAAATCATATATATATAATTCCGTGTATATATTCTTCTTAGGGATTCAATTCAATACTTAAACATGAATTTACAAGGATATGGAACAAACTAGAAATTACTATAACGAGTTAATGATATAAAAAAAAACTAACTGAAAATTATTGAAAACAATCAGAAATCAATAAAACCTTGTCCGTACAATCCTTTTGTGACTACAATATAGAATTTACATGTGTTCTTTAGTCTCATTATTATACTAATAACAGAATACATACAATAAAAAGTCTCAAAGAGACTATGATTGTTTTTTCAAGAATAATCGATCGCCAGAGGAACAATCTGTCTTATTTATTTCTGCGTTTCGAACAGATTTTTTGTCCTTTTTATTGTCGCTCTATTATTTTGTTTGCCCGTTTTCCTTAATTTAACATTTATTATTATTCTAACCATTCATTACACTGACAAATAAGCTTTTTATATACATCCATCCATCATATCTACAACAGATCTCAATATATTATTATGCATCTTGATAAACTTACAGACATGAATATTAATTATTGCTGAAGTTATAACTTGATCAGTTCAACCTTTTTTTTTTATGTTAATTATATGATGACTATAGCCAATCAATATAACATTATCTATCATCTTTGACATTTTGAATATACATGTTTATTTGTGCAAAAATAAAAAAAACTACACTATTTAGAGTATTTACAAACGTATTTCAGTCAGTCATTTTAATTTCAAGAACAGTCTAAGTCTTGTTGTTAATGCCATTCAGTACCTTTTTCTATTACTAAGGAACTATGGAAGTGGAATCTGATGTTTTGTGTTCTCTGTTCCTAAAGCAAACGTACTCATAGATCTCTGAACACTGCTTTCGATTGTTAGGGCACAAAGAGGAAGAGCTGTAAAAATCTTGGTTTAAACTTACATTCACTATTTTCGTCAAAAATATATGTGAGTTCGATAATAAGGTTTTGTTAAAAATATACCATCTTCCAATATCGATTACTATTTGATTCGATATTATAATGATCCGTAAAAAATTCAAAAAAAGAAAACTTCAAAAGGATTTGTTCCGATGAAATTTGATCTATTTATTATGTACATTATGCTTGTTCTTTTCTTCATACATATCTTTAATTAAGCTTTTCTTCAAAAAAAAAAACACATTGGTCAAAGCGTATTATTCATAAAAATCTTTATTTATACTGACATTACCAGAGGAATCTATCTCTTGTGTTCATTTTATATAAGAATTTTCTCAATGTAAGACATAGATAATGAAAGAAAAAAAAATATCTACAAGAAAGAACGTTGACGACACTTTACACAAATAACAATAAACGAATATACATACATTAACGGATCCTATGAAATCAAATAAAAACAAACGTAAATCAAAGTTTGTCATTATCAATGCAAGCTTAAGGATACCTTTCAAGCAATTCTTAAAGAACGACTCACCAGAACATTTCGAGAGATCTCGATGAGTAGAACAAAAATTATCATAAACTTAAAACCTTCGGATACGTCCCTGTAAGTGCAAAAAAACAGTGGTTCCGTCTCTCTTTCGGCCATAATACGTCTGGTAGAGTTGAAGTTTTCTTTTCACAGACATTAGACAATGTTTGAATTGCCAACTTTCTTTGATATGTCTTTTCGTTTCCTTTCATTTGAATAAAAACACTAAAATCCTAAGGGCACCATAAAAAATGCATGTTTTTTTTACGAGAGCTTTTCTTTGTCAACCTTAGCAAAAATTAATGGTATATCATATTTGAGACAAATAAAACTAAATGTATTCTCGTATCAGTTTCAGCTCGATTGGATATACTACAGTCAAGAGATGTGGGTGGTTCTCAACTTTGTTTTTTCTTGCAAAAAAAAAACTTATTTTTCAAAAACAACGAAAAAATATGTAAAGACAACTATACAGTTTTAACTACAGAATAGGATATATAGGGACTTCTAGAGAAAGACTTTCATTATCTAATGGCGTATGTGTTATCAAGTTCTACTGTGTACTGTTGATATGTTGATAGATGGCCCACCTATCGACATGTCAACAGTAAGTAGTTTTATAGCTATATAAATAACAAAATGAAAGTTTAAAAACTTTTTTCATCGAGAAAAGGAGTAGATCCACTTTAATGAATTACATTGATAATGGCAAAATTTGATTTATGTATATTTGGTTCATTACATAGGACCAAATTAACGGACAAAAAAAAGGAAAGGTTTCGCCATCTGACACACAACACACACGCACACACACACACAAATGTATGTAAACATAAAAGAAAAGAAAAACAAAACCTGAGAGACAAAAAAGAGCATTAAGCATATCGATATTTTCGTACTGAATCTGTTGTTAAATCAACACAAAGTACACAACCATCTTGTGTTGTTACTAATGAACATGGACGTCGTAAACGTTGATTATAAGAATCAATAATACGTAATAAATGACCTTGATTATCATATATTTCAATATGTGCATATCCATCTTTTTCACATTTACCAGCTAATAAAAGACCATTTTTATCTACACAAAGTGCTGTATAAAATCCTAAGAAAATCAAAATTAATTAATTTTATGAAATAAAAGAAAACAAACAAACAAACAAGATTTTCTCACCTCCTTTTATTATTTGATTATTCATAGATTTTGTATGTTGATGTATTGTTGAAGATTGTTTATGATGTGATGCAATAAGATCAGGTGGTTCATGTGTTATATGTATATCAACATCAACAATTTGTTGTTGATTTATAGATGATATTTGTCTTAAATATTTTCCATCATATGATAATATATGTATACGATGATCACTAATTATAATATCATCTTGTAAATTAATTGTAAATGCTTTTATAGTTTTTATACCAAATGAACGTGTATCAATTTGATTTATTAAATCACCTGTACGATTATCAATAATTAATAATGTATTATTGTCACATATAAGTAAAGAATTTAAATGTTGTTCAAATAAAGCTATTTGTACAGGTTCATTAAATAATGAACATGTTATTTGATGATTTATATGTATTTGACTATTATTAAGATTTGTTATTGATGAATTAGAATTTATTATTGTAAATTCACTTATAATTTTACTTTTCCAATCAAGTAAATAGAATGTTGATGTTGATGAACGATAAGCTAAACCAGTACTTGTTGATTCAACAAGTGATTCAGTTGCTAGAAATAAAGTTATTATTATATGATTATAAAATTCATATTTATTCTTTATAAATCGAAACTTAAGAATAGAAGAGATTATGATATTTCAATCGGATTTAAAGCTTAGTAAGCGTGTGATGATGATAATCACATTTTTTATATTATTCACATACTTGTATACTAAAGAATAGTAAATGATATTGACAACGCTGTTAGTGAGATTAAAATGTTAAAGCTACGTATATTGTGGATGAGAAAAAACTATCAACATTTTTTTTTTTTTTTTTGCTGGGGGGAAAAGTTTATTGTTACGCTCTGGAGCGCTTACAATGTAGAAATACAAGTTTAAAAAGACACACAAGATTACAAATGTTAACAAAGAAAAAAAGAAGGAATACCACAATTAATCGACTAAGAAACTGGGGTTTATGTTATGACATGTCCAAGTAAGATAAGATAAGATAAAATAAAAAGAAAAAAGAAAAAGGAGGCGAAAAGGGGGGAAATAAAAATGAATAAAGGGAGAGTACAGATGTAATAAGACACTGTATAGACTTGCGAAGTTTACTCCACACTACTAGGCTCGCTTGTCTTCAACATATTCCAACCAGACTAGTAAAAGACATTTGTGCTTCGCTATCATCGCCTTTACTCTCTTTCGTTGAAAGAAGTGACCTAGTCCATCTTTTTTACTTTTTTTAAAATCGGCCCAAAAGAATATATTATTCAGAAATAATGAGGATGCAAGATCTGACCTATGCACTCTATTAAGCCGCCTACGGATGAATTTTTTCACATAATAATCCAAATCATTTTCTTTCGTGAATTTATGTAATTCATGCGCTGCTATCCAGTGGCAGCGGTATACCAGTCTTAAACCTGCTCTAAATTTCCGCCTTAGTAGCTGTTGTTGTGTACTCGGAAGGAATGGGAAGAGGCAGAAAAGCCAAGCGAAAAAGGGAAATGAATATGCAAAGAAACATTGTCTCAGAACCTCGGTGGAGATCACTCTACTGCGACTCAGCCACTTTAATTTCCCATAGGATCGTTGCACCTTCTCTAAACAGTTAGCAACTGATTTATACATGGATAGCTTGCTGGTCCACGTATATCCCAGATACTTGAAATCATTTACACATTCGAGTGGTGTATTATTCATCGATATTGTTAATGGTCGAGGACTAACTTGTGAATGAAAAATCTGATAGACAGTTTTGTCTACGTTTATCGGCTGTTTCCACCTACATGCACAGTCATACAGTCGGTTACACACGTTCGAACCCTCCTTTTCTAAAAACTGAAGCATGGGTTCGAGTTTTTTCTCGATCGGGGCTCTAATCAGTACATTCAGATCATCTGCGAATATGTGTGCAGAAAAAGCACCTGTGCATTTTATCAGGTCCGCATGAAATACTATAAATAGGTATGGGCTCAGGGTACTACCCTGTGGGAGCCCAATGGATATCCAAAACTCTTTGGTTTCTGCCTCGCCGAAAAGAACAAAAGCTCTTCGAGCGGTAAGCCAGGAGTAAACAATCCTTAAAAGAGAATTCGGTATTCCAAATCGATGCAACTTGACCAGTAACGCGGCGTACCAAACCTGGTCATACGCCTTCTTATAATCAAAATACACCGACAGGGTAGGCACATTTGCATCCAAATTGTTATGGATCTCTTGTAGGATAGACAAAACTCTTGTGGGGATTAGGCAATTGGGCCGAAATCCTGATTGTTCTGTAGGCACAATGCTGTTCGATTCCGCCTAGCATCGAATTCGTACCAGCAAACTTTTCTCGAACAACTTAGAGTGCGTCGCAAGGAGGGATATCGGGCGGGTTTGCTCACAAGTCGGAGTACCTGTCTTTAACTTGTTTAAGGTAATAATCTTCGCCTTTTTCCATACATCTGGAAATCTACCTTCCTGTAGCCAGAAATTGAAACACTGGCGAAGGCAGTGTATATATCCTGGAGGTAGTAGTTTCAACATAAAGTTAGAGACAAGATCATATCCGGATGATTTCTTGGACTTGAGAGCTCTAACACATTTTCCTATCTCATATACACTGGTTGGCTCAATTTTTTCTGAAGACTTTGTAAAGGTTTTCAATAACTCATGAAATTCGGTCTCGATGACTGAATCATGCGGGTCTTTACTATCAACTATAGGAGGTTGAAATAGTTGTTCAAAATAATTATGGAGTTCTTCAGCTATTTCTTCGTTATCTGAAACCACTCTATTTCCTACTTGTAGCTTAGCAAAGGGAAGTATTTTTGGCTTGTACAATCTCACCAAATGGGACCAAAAATTTGTTTCACCTCTAGTTCTACTACTTTGAATTTGTGCTAGAAAGCTAGACCACCTGTTCGAGCGATATTTGGAAATATCGGCCTGTACCTCTCTATTTAATGCTCTTACCAGAATTCTTTCTGCTTCATGATCAATATCATATCTTCGTTTTCGGTAGCAGTTATTCCTAATTGACCTTAAAATCTTCAATTTCCTCAGAATGTACTCAGGCAGAGCTGGTCGAAACTTCTCTTTCTCTTTCCAAGTTGTTACTCGATTCTTAAGTGCCCCTACAAAATGAATATACAGTCTATATCAATCATCTGCTGAGACATTTCCCTGCAGTTCCACCCAATAATCGTGAAGTAGACATAAAATGATCTCAAACTCTTTCCAATTTGTAATGGGAAAGAAGTTATGTGATTGAAAATTTATTGCGTTCGACGAATACACAATCGGCCAGTAGTCGCTGGTTCCGAATTTTTTTGTTTCACCTTGTAAACACCTAACGTTCGTGAACAAAAGATCAATATTCCTTTCTGAACGTTTTGACGAATTAAACGTGTTTTCAATATAAACAAGATTATTTTCCACCACCCATTGTTTTAGTATCTTACCCCGACTGTCATCTTTCGGGCTTCCCCACTCACACAAAGTTGCATTAAAGTCTCCTGTCACTATTGTGTTGTGGATGATAAAGGTGGACAAATCATCTAAAGGATAGGGGCGCATAAGACCCTAATTTGGCCCATTGGACTTTTCATACTATATCCAGCACAATCATATATAGGATGAAAGAGCTTCAACTGGCGAATACTTTCCAATACATTTGAGGGCTTCCTACCTTATGATTTTAAATGAACTTATTACGATTACATAGTAATTACATCACAGCCTTTCAGACTAGTTTTCTCTATATAAATTCAAGAAATTCAGCTTCAATTATACACCATCCGATAGCTCTTTTCACGGGCTACAAAACTATATAGTTTTTAAAGTTAGCAAAGGTGGGCCCATCAAAAAGTTCAAGACCACAAAGGAAAAACTATGCTTATTTTTACATATAATACAAGATATTTGATTAATTATTTTCTTAAAACTCCGTATCAGCCAACTTCATTTATACACCATCGGATAGCTCTTTTCACGAGCTACAAAATGATATAGTTTTTAAAGTTAGCAAAGGTGAGCCCATCAAAAAGTCTAAGACCACAAAGTAAAAACTATGCTTATTTTTACATATAGCACAATATATTTGATCAATTATTTTCTTAAAATTCCGTATCAGCCAACTTCAATTATACACCATCGGATAGCTCTTTTCACGAGCTACAAAATCATATAGTTTTTAAAATTATTAAAGGTGGGCCCATCAAAAAGTCCAAGACCACAAAGTAAAAACTATGCTGAGTTTTACATATAGTATAACATGTTTGATTTACCATTCCTTCAAAAACTTTCTTAAATCAACTCCTGTTATAACTCGTCAGATAGTCTTTTCTGTCACCTATAAAAATCTAATATTTGGGGTGTGTGGGTGTGGGTGTGGGTATGAGTGTGAGTTAAGCCAACAACGATACCCACACCCACACCCATACATATATGTAATACTTGAAACTTGAATTCAAGTATTCACGTATTCAGTTATTGAATAGTTGAAGTTTCAAGTATTCAACTTTTCAACTTTTCAACTATTCAAATTTTAACTTCCCAAGTATTCTGCGAATATCTAGTGAGGAAGCGCATTTCCCTACCTAACACACCTTTTATTTCAGCGTCGCGGCGTGGGGCGCTTCGCCCCTCCTCCCCAACAGCCGCAACCCATGCACGTCTATGTGTACACCATTATTCCTACTCAGTGCTGCTCATTAGCTCAAGCTTCTCATATACTTCTTGTAGCATTCCAGATAATGTCTGCAGCATCTGAACCAAAATCTGTAGTGTCTTATGGAATGCTTGTAGCATCGTAGGTGATACGTGTAGCATCATAGATGATGCTTGTAGCCTCATAGACTATACCTGTCGATATTAGATGATTCTGGTGGCATTCCAGTCGTTGACTAATTGAGTACTTGAATAGTTGAACACTTGAATGGTTGAATACTTGAATAGTTGTGTTATGATATGACATCTATATATATGTATTGTTCATCTTTTCTATTCTTTTCTCTTTCCTTTCTCTATTCTTTCTTTGATGTCATCTATATATATGCATGTAATCTTATGTATCGGTGGTGATTCTTTAAAGTTAAAATAAACAAACGTTTATGTTCTACACATGAACCCACATTTGCCCTTAAAAAACAAGTGCATAAAAAGTAGAACATAACAAGTTGAATGCTTGAATAGTTGAAAACTTGAATACTTGAATAGTTGAATAGTTGAATAGTTGAATACTTGAATAGTTGAATACTTGAATAGTTGAATGCTTGAATAGTTGAAGAGTTGAATAGTTGAATACTTGAATACTTGAATGCTTGAATGCTTGAATGGTTGAATACTTGAATAGTTGAATACTTGAATGGTTGAATACTTGAAAACTTGAATGCTTGAATAGTTGAATACTTGAATACTTGAATAGTTGAATAGTTGAATGCTTGAATAGTTGAATTCAGCTTTGAAGTTTGGCACTACTGCATCCATATCTGCACCCATATCTACACCCACATCCACCCTTCTGCATGAGGCATAATAAATTACGTATTCACAAACTATATAACACCGTTATAGATATGTGGCTCTTTTTTACAATTTAACAGCTACACGTCCTTGTAAGTAACTCCGATAAAATAACAATGACGTTATGTGTTTAGTATTGCTCTTAATCGTATGTTGTTTTCAGTTTCACGTATAATATTCGTTCCTGCCGGTATGCAGCTCCATCGGATTCTTGTTCTCTTTCCTTCCCTATCATTCTCATCGGTCCTTTGCGTATCCATTTTTTGATGATAGAGAAGAAAAACAATAATAAAGATTTCTGAATTAGTCTTTGACAGCCTACATCTAGACTATGTTTTTTCTGCATACTATTTTTTCTGTGCATGCATGATTACCAAGCACAGCATCAAATTCATCCAGAGAGTATCAATAGTAGATTGATGTCAGATGTAACTATGATACATGAGCTTCTGCTTCACAAATTTCAATGACAGTGTGTGAATATGGCAATATTTAAACGAATGTCTTTGCAAAAATCGTATGGTTTTTTTTAACCGAAAGAAGTAAGATCTAAATAAATCTGATCACCACTAGACATGGGCGGCGCAGGTCAAAGTTTCTAGGGGTAGCAATAAATTTAGC